TTGGACTTGATGGTCTCAAAGGGCTTTTCCAACCTTAACAATTCCATGATCCCCTCCACTAAAACCAGCCCTTCCTCACCTTCTGCTCCAAAGCCTTCACGTGTATTTCTACCAACACTCACACAAAGCCTCTACTGAACAGTAAAACCTTTCCCCTCCTTCCTCCCAACACAAATTCCCTCATTCCACGGGACAGCTGTGTCCTGGTGCAGCCAGGTAACCCAGGAAACCCCACCAGTGCACGTGCAGTTCCAACCTGGTTTGCCACAGCTGAGCAAACCTTCCTTAGGGATTGGGTCATTCCAGAGGAATTCAGCCACAAAGTCATTTTAGGTTGGAGAAGACCTCCAGTATCATTGTCCAGCCTCGCTCCAGCAGCTCCACGTCCTTCTGCTGCTGGAGCCCAGGGCTGGAGGCAGCTCTGCTTTGGGGCCTGACTCAGGGGGCACAATCCCCCCGTGCCCTGCTGCCCACCCGTGGGATCAGCCAGGAGCAGGGATTTCGGGGCCCCAGTGCTGTGGCTGGGATGTGTTGGTTTGCCAAACTCTCACAGATGCCACTTTTCGGCTCCTGAGGTTCAAACCCCAAATCCCTCATCCCATCCCTGCTCCACACAGACACAGCAGGTCCGAGGTGCCCGATCCCAGCAGTGATGGATCCCGGTGGTGACTGATCCCAGCAGTGACCGATCCCAGGAGTGACCGATCCCAGGAGTGACCGATCCCAGGAGTGACCGATCCCGGCAGTGACCCATCCCGGCGGTGACCGATCCCAGGAGTGACCCATCTCAGGAGTGACCCATCCCAGGAGTGACCCATCCCGGGAGTGACCCATCCCGGGAGTGACCCATCCCGGCAGTGACCGATCCCGGGAGTGACCGATCCCGGGAGTGACCGATCCCGGGAGTGACCGATCCCGGCGGTGACCCATCCCAGCAGTGACCCATCCCGGCAGTGACCCATCCCAGGAGTGACCCATCCCAGGAGTGACCCATCCCAGGAGTGACCCATCCCAGCGGTGACCGATCCCAGCGGTGACCGATCCCAGCAGGGATCCCACTCACTGCTGCTCCACCTGGACCCGTTTCTGGAGCTGTGGGAGGACTCTGGCCCAGCCCACGAGCGGATACACATCCAGGGGCTAAATTTACTTCCCAAGCCAGAGCGGGTTGATGAACCCTCCCGGTGAACCCCCCCTATCCTGGCACAGCCATGCCCAGGAATGATGGATGTGCCACAGGCCGGGCCACCACGCTGACCTTTGGGAGGGCCTCAGTGCCCTGCTCTGCCAGGTGACTTCCTGCCCAGCAATGAGATCCCTGCACTTTAATCCTGCCTTTGGAACAGGAAGACTGGCGCTTCCACATCCTACGGCACCACGAGGTTAAATATACCAGAGGAACCCCGAGGAGCTGGAAGCAACATTCCCAGTGCAGGTGTTTGGCACACACTGGAGAAGCCACCTTTGCTCACAGGTCCTCTCTGGGCTTGATCCAAGGAGCAGGAGTTGGGTTTGGTTTAAAAATCGCTGCTCCTGAGTGAGCAGCAGTTGGAGTTTCTCCCAAAGGAATCACGAGAACGAACCAATTACACCTTTTCAATGGGAATAAGGATGAGCTGGGCTGAAATGTCCCCTTTTCCTGCATCTCTGACAACCTCCACCCTGGTCCAGATGCTCTTGGCAGCAGCCAGGAGAGCACAGCCCAAACCCCCCCAGGCACAGCCGGGCTGTGCTGTTCCCTGGATTTCCTGGGACTTCTCCCACATAGAACCCAGGGTGCTGGATCCTCCCCACGTTCCCAAGGGAGGGCACCAGGGCCATCACAACGCTGGGATTTGGGGCTCCCTGTGCCCAGGGTGCCTGTGCCGAGCCCAAATTGTTCTTCCAGAGCCCTGAGTGGCACAAACACAGCACAGAGCCAAAGGAGAGAGGTGGGGGACAGCAGGATACCTCCTCCCAGCACAGTCCCAGGGAGCGGGGAAAGCATCCCAGCCATTTCACCTCGTTAGGCTGAGAGGCTGAAAATAGCCCCGGGATGAAAAACAAACCCGTTGGACAAGTTCTCCAAAGCCAGGGGCTCTGGCCAGCAGGAGCAGCCCCGGAGCTCTGTCCTGCCTGGAGCTCCATCCCAGCCAGAGTTCCTGCACCTGGAGCTCCAGAGGGGACACAGACAATGGCACTGTCACTGCCAAAGGGGCATCACACCCAGGACAGCCCGAGGGAAGGGAGGGTGAGACACAGACAGAGCCCTTTGAAGATATCCATCTCACAGGGATGGCACAGGAATGCCAGACATTCCCATTACAGCTCCCCGATGACAAACTCCAAGGGCTGAGCCTCACCCTTTGATGCGTGAAACATTTTTTTTTCTCCTTTCCCAAGAAGAAAAATAAAAGAGAGATGGGAGGAAAAGTCATCAGCAACCCCCCACCTCTCACTTCTCACCCCAAAAGCTGTGAGGAAAACCCCAGGGGTCATCCTGCAGAGTGGGAGAGCGGCACTGAGTGCCCCTTTCCAGCCTTTTTTTGTTAATGGTACAGCAAGCAAAATGAGAGACAGGAAAACCTGTTTATCTACAAAACACAGAGTGCAAATCTCCAGGAAACGGCGGGTCCACCAGAAACCTCTGAGAGCAGCAGGACCCCAGGCCAGGACAGCACTTGGGATGAGACCAGGACAGCCCTGGGGTGGGAGCAGGACAGCCCCCAGCACTGCCCCACCGAGAGGCCCCTCTGCCTGGAGTGCTGCTGTCACCACTCCCACAAAACCAGCAGCACCTCCAGGGTAGTTTCCACACTTCCCCAAGTGTCTCCTTCTTTATCCAGAGGGCCCCCAGGACAGAGCTTAATGAAACACTCTCCCCACAGCAGCCCAGGCTGCAGGGGTGCCACTTCCATCTGCCATCCCCGAGGGAGGCTCAGGAATCTCTTCCCCTTCCCAGCCCTGTGGCAGAGGGTCCCAGCTTCCCCCTCTCCACCAGCAGCCAAAGCCAGCCCAGAGCTCCAGGGGGGCTTTTTAACCCTCTGAGACCCTGGGCATGAGCCACAGAGCAGAGATGGGGCTGCTCTGGCAGTGCTGGGCACGATCCAACACCCCAAATCCTTCTGGAGGGTCACCAGCTGCTGTTTGTGCTGGGATTGCCCCTGGGATGAACTGACCTGAGCCCCCCATGCAGAGTCCTCAGGGTCCACACACCCCACAGCTAAAAGCACAGGCAGGGACAAGTCCTTCACTGATCCTTTCCACAGGCTTTAAAAGAAAGAAAAAACCAAATCTCCTCCTTATTTTCAATTTCCAGAGCAGACACACCATGAAATCCCAGGAACATTGAGCCACTACCTCCCTTCCGAAGTGCTCAGCTCTTCCATCAGCCATTCTCCCATAACACCTCATTCCTGATTTGTTTCTTTTCACTTCCCACAAGCCTAATCCTGTTGCTGACAGGCCAGACCTGGATCCAGCTCCAGGAATGCCAAGCAGAGGAGAAAGCTGGAAGGCTCCAGGAGGACCTGCACAGCCTGGGATGGGATCCCTTCCTTCCTCCCGACCCTCAGAGCTCACCCACAGCCCCAGCAGGTGGGAAAAGCCATCACACACAGGATTGAGGGAATGCTGCCTCCAGGTATCCATCCACACCTCACCTGAAGTCCTGGAGCTCCTCCCTGACCAGCACAAGATGCCAGACTTGAATTTTTGCCTCCCAGCTGCCAAGCAGGAGGAACAAACCCACTGGGTAGCATTAATAACAGCAGCTGTTTGGAAAGGGATGTTTCCAGAATTGGTTCTCTCCCCTCAAAATTTAGTTTTTATCCCCCATCCTTCTGTATCAAGTTAAAAAACAACTTTCTTTCCTCTTGGCTTACTCACACATTAATTATGTCCTGGCACTCTTACAGATCTAAACAAATGCACTGCTGAGCAGCTTTGATCCTGAATTATTCCTCCCTTCCCTGCAATCCAAAGCCTCCCTTGCCTGGGAAGGGGCAGGCTGTTCCAACCAGCAAGCTGTTCCTTTGGAACTAGAAGAGGAACATTCCTCAAGTTCTCCTGTTTATTGTGTTCCTGTCCTCCCAGAAGGGCGCCGAATTTCAGGCCCCAGAGCTCCAAACCTGGAAGGACTGACCTCACAACTCCATCCTTCGGGGAAAAACAAACAGGGGGCTACAAAACCAGCAGCTTTTCCTGCAGAGCGTGTGTGTTGTGTCCTCCAAACATCCTCCCTTCCAGGGGCACGGCTGCTGCTCTCACTGAGCACTGCTGGGCTCAGGGATTCCCAAACCCCACAGGAGGTGAAGGGCTGGTGGAAGTGAGGGGATGCAGAGTTCCTGGGTGGGACAAAGTGCACTTCCCAGGAAAGGCTGGATTTGCCTCTGTGGGTCCTGAAAACATCCCTTCCAGCAAAGCTCAGCAATGTGTACACACATAAAGAAAAATATGTACATTTTTACCAAAGGGGCAACAACTCAGGCTGGTGAGAGACTTCCAAGGAGCACTTGGTGGTTCCCAAAGTCAGACTCCACAGATGTCCATGACATGCAGCAAGTTAATACTTTTTCCAAAGGGGAAAAAATAGGTTACTTAAAAATAGGCCCATAATCCAAACAAACAAACATCCCGGTACTGTTTCACGGGGAGAAAAACAGGGACAATTCAGGGGCAGAAATTCGTGTCGTTCCCCAAGGATTTCCTTCTGCTGCTCTGAGGGTCTGACACCGAGCAGGGCTGGGGACTTCAGCCTGCACTGCCAGGGAAAATAAATATATCAGCTGGGCACAGTCCTGCCTGGCACCCTTATCATTCACAGTGCTGTAATTATTATTGCAGAGACCCTGGAGCCCCTTCCAGGGCCTAAAGGGGTTCCAGGAGAGCTGGAGAGGGACTGGAGACAAGGGATGGAGGGACAGGACACAGGGAATGGCTTCCCACTGCCAGAGGGCAGGGAGAGATGGGATATTGGGAAGGAATTGTTGGCTGTGAGGGCGGGGAGGCCCTGACAGAAGCTCAGTTTGAGGCAGGAGCTGCTCAAAGCTCCCATGTGCTGCAGGAGTGATGGAGCAATGAATGGCATCACCAAAGAGTCTCCAGCATCAGCTCCTAAAACTGCCCTGCCAGAGCCATGGAGCTGCCAGGAACCAAGTGAGGCAGGACTGCAGGGACTGGGTGAAAGGAAGGCAAGGGAAAATTAAAGTGCTCCAGAGAGCCTCCCCTCAGCCACAGGAGGGGAGCAGATGGCTCAGGGACACAAAACACCCCCAAATTCCAGCAGCAAATAAGGCCTGAGGGCAGGAGGGGGAAGCAGCAGGTCCTGAGGCTGGGGGGATTCCCAGACCTTCACCTGACATCAGGTAACATCCAGTGTCCTGTTTCCAGCAGGTTCCAACACTGCCCCTGCAGGTATCCACAGTGGGGCTCCAGCCAGCCAGACCACCCAGGAAAATGAACCCCCCCAGTTCCCAAAGAGGCAGTTCCAGTGGGAATCCCAGAGCTGCCCAGGAAGCACCACAGCTCTCCCGCTGGCTCCACCTGCCCAAAAGTTCATTTCCCCTTCTCTGGATTGAAAGCAAAGCTAATTAATGAAGGAAACAGCTTTTTCTACACTAATTGGCCTGTGTAATTAGGGCTCTGAGAAGCAGAATGCCAGGCTGGGCACAGTCCAGCAGCTGAAGGTGTCCAAGCCTGGCACTGACCCTGGAGAGCCACGGTGGGACAGGAGCCACCAGCACAGCTCCCAGCAGGACCAGCAGCAGGATTTCCAGGAGCACAGGGATAACCTCGGGGAAAACGGCTCCTTTTCAACCACCTGCTCACAGAAACAGCCTTTAAACTAACAAATCATGGAATCCCAGGATCCCTGAGGCTGGAAAAGCCCTCCCAGCCCATGGATCCCCCCTGGGCCCCATCCCCACCTTGTCCCCCAGCCCAGAGCACTGAGTGCCACGGCCAGGCCTTCCTGGGACACCTCCAGGGCTGGGTACTCCAAACCTCCCTGGGCAGCCCCTGCCAAGGCCAAATCTACATGGAATTACACCAGGAGAGCCTTTTACTTCCCTTCCCTCACCCAAAACTGGGCAGATCATGAACCACAACTCTCTGAAGGATAATACAGCTCCCCTGTACTGTCACCAGAGATCATTCCCATGCCTGGAGGAGGAGAAGGGAAGAGCCCTCACCTGGAATCACAGTGTACCAACATACCCAGGCAGCCCACAGCTTTTCTGCAGGCAACAGAAAAGTAAATTCCTTTCCCTTCTTCCACCCTTTGGGATGAGGTTCTGCTCCAAGATCATCAAGGCATCCCAGATTAAGTGACGTCAGGAGGCTCCTCCATCACACATTTACTGCTCCATCCCCTCCTGAGAGGAAACTGCAGACAGGGGGATTGCTGCCTTGGACTTCCCACATGGGTAGGTGTATCCCTGCCCCCCCAAGGAAAGGCCCAGCTCCCTCCAGCTCCCCCTGCACTGCTCCTGTTGGAAGGGACCACCCAAGGGGCACTGGGGGCTTGCAGAGAGCTGCTGTGCAAAGGGGTAAATAAATAATCTAACAAGAAATTCAATTAAAATCCCCTCTGTGATCCAGCTGAGCACTGCTCCACGTTCCCGGGCCCAGCAGGGAAGGGAATGAGCAGGAGGCGCCCAGCACTCCCACTGCTGCCCAGCCAGCCCTGCTCCTCCTCCTCCTCCACGAGGCCACGGTTTGCTGCCAAAACACAGTTCCTGCACCTCTCAGAATGGCAATTCCTCGAGATGAGTTTCATTCCCAAGGCTGTGCAATCCACTGTGGCTTCCAACCGAGCTGGGGAAGAACAGGGCCTGTTTCCTGGCAGGCTTTTCCAAGTATTCTCACAACTGCTCTCCCTCCCTTGCCCAGCCCGAAGCCGCCAGTCACAGATGTGAGTCCTGCTCAGTGACCGTGCACACCTGACAGGGTTAATTCAACTGCACAGTCCTTCCAGTCCTGGAGGCAAAAGCTCCTTTAGGAAGTGTTCTATCAAAGCAGGGAGAGCTGCAGGAGCTGCTGCAGGGAGGGTGTGCTGGGACAAGGCAGGTCGTTGTGCACCTCCCGGGGCTGTGATCCAGGACAGGGCTTGGAGGTTCCCAGCACAGGAATATCGGGATGAAATCCTGCCCTGGTTCTGCTCCCACAGCACAGGGAGGGGGGCACTGAGCTCAGAGAGCAGCCAGATCACAGAATCCTGGAATGCTGGAGGTTGGAAGAGACCTCCAAGAGCGTCGAGCCCAACCTCCCACCGACAGCGGTGTCTCAGCAAACACCACGGATTTTATCCAACCCCCTGCCTCCAGCAGTCAGCCCCTTTCCAGAGGCTGCCTCTCCAGCATCCTGCTCCCTGCAGCCCATGGAGTGTGTGGCTCTGGCACAGGGACAGGGCAGAGCCGTGGCTCCTGGCACAGGGGCGGGTGACGCACACCGGCACCACGGAGGAGCTGCACCAGCGTCACGATCCCTCCGTGACGGGAGCGCTGAAACCGGGAGATGGAGGAGAACCAGCCCCGTTCCCACCCTGCAGGATGATGCATCACCGAGCTTCCAAAGGCTCTGCTGAGGCCTGGTCCTGCTCAGGTGCCACGAGTCCAAACCCATCACTTTCCAAGGTTTAGCAGTGAAGGATTCACCTCCAGTTAACCCCCGGGGCCTGGGATGGCAAGGACAGGAGTGCTCGACCAGAGTGCCTGGGCACAGTGTCCTCCCCCAGAAAGGAGTGTTTCCCCCTCGGGAATTAATGCCCAGTTCAAAGGCTGTGGTTGCAGCCCCCCCTCCCCATGCTGGACTGTGTCCAGTGGGATGTTCTGTGGGTTTAAGTGCAGCTCCAGGTGCTCCAGGCAAACACAGAAATAGCCCTGGGCACGGCTCTCCAGGTTTTCTTTGGATACACTCTGGTTATTTTTGTAACCTGTGTTCTAAACCACTTGAACAAGAGCAAATATGATTCAGGAATCAACACAGGGGAGCAGCAAACAGGGCAGGGAGAAGGAGAAAGGAAGGGAAAGAAGAGCTGCTTGGCATAAGGAAAAGCCACCAAAGCCTGTCCCATCCCTGCAGCAGAGGGTCCAGCCCCCACCAGCCCCCAGCACACGAGCTCCACGTCTCCCCAAAAATGCCTCAATCCCAACACACCATCCAAAGCCCATCCCTTGACTTGCAGGAGACAGAGACAGGAAAAACCCACACTAAGATCCCTGATCTGAGAGCCCAGACCTCCCCCAGCACAGGCAGAGCGTGGAGACACAGCCCTTCATCCATAGGGATGCAAGACCACAGGAAGGAATTCCACAGAAAATGAAATAAGGCTCAGGGCAGCACTTCCATATGATTGCTTGGAGGTGGCTCTGGATCTGTCTGTAGGTGGAAGGTGTCACCCCTAAAGGAACCAGGAGTGGATCCCAGTCATGCAGATCCCTGCCCCTTCACAGCCAGTTTTCCTTGGATCTCCTACAAACACACCTGAAGCCCCACCTGAGGGTGCCCACCTGTGCTGGGCTGCACAGAGGGCAAACAAGGAAAACAAGAATCACCTTAGATCCCAGGAAACTGCTCACAGCTGATGTGACTTAATGAGGAAGAGGCCCCTGAGCACCTTAATATCTTAAATGAGATGGAATTTAAAACTTTTGATCCAAACCCACCTAAAAGTTCTGTGCAAAGTGTTTGACACAATCCCCGAGGATGTTCTCACAACGACCAGAAAAATAAACAAAACCTGGTTGGCTTGGGCAGCAGCCCCACTACAGTGAGTGGAAGGAGGAAAAAAAAGATCCCTGAAAGTCCAGTTTGTCCCCCAGGAACCTCGTTTGCCCCTTTTAGGGGGTGTGAAAAGATCCCGGGGCCGGGCTGTGGCCTGACAAATTCTGGCTAAAAATAACCAGGGGCGGGTGAAAACAATGAGGTGTGGGACGGTCACACATCCTGTGAGAGCACCGGGAGCTTCCCAAACCTGGGACTGGGGCAAACCCTGCCTGCTGGGAGAGGGCCCTCGTGGCTGCTCTTGGCTCCAACCCCCTCCTCCTCTGTCTCAGCCTCTCTGCCTTGTGAAATGGCTCCTGCGCTGCCGAGTGGAACCAAACTTCAATCTGATCTCGGCAGGAAAAGATTAGAGATGAAAGATTAAAGCCCTCGACTCGCCTCTGAGTGAGTCAAAGCCAGGAGAAAAATCTGATTTTCCCCGGGGTTCAGTCACCAACTCTGATTCTCCCGCACGGATAAAACTGCCCGCGTCAAACTCCTGCGTATAAAAAGAGTCTCTGAGGGACCGGGATCACCCCCTGACCCTCCATAAAACCCGCTGCTGCATCCCCTGAGCTCGCAGGGAGATCTCGGCAGCCCCCGAGCTCAGGCTCCCGCCCTCTGCAAACGCTTCCCTGGTTCCAGGGAAAAGCGGCCGCTGCCGATATTTCATCATTACAATCGTGCAACGCCGGTTAAAGAAAAATACCCAGCACCTCAGAAAGTGTGTCAAAAACGAGCACTTTCGCTTTCAAAACGCCGTCCGACACCCACCTCTGCCTCTCGCCCCGGCTCGTTCTGCTTCCAGGGAAAACACGGGGAAAGGCGGCTGCTGAGCCAGCCGGGAACATCCCCTGCTCCCAACTCCAAAAGCTCCAGAGCAAAGGGCCGAGAGACCCCAGAGGACACGGGGAGCGGTGGGAGCGGAGGGAAGGAGCCCCTCGGACCTGCCCGGCTGCCCCGGGAGGGACACGGAGCAAGGGACACAAACCCGGGGACACAAACCCCTCCTCTGCACGTCCGGGGCTCCAAACCTGGCACCATCGCCTTGCAGGTCTGGACACCCAGCAGCGACCACAGAACACGGCTGGGAAAACCAGCAGTGACCAAAAGCACCTGTCCTGCGGGAACAGCCCGTCCGGGGGATTCACTGGAGCCCGGACCGGGGCTGCTCCCGGGCGAGGACCCGGGGCTCCTTGCCGGCCCCGACCCCGGGGCTCCTTGCCGGCCCCGACCCCGGGGCTCCTTGCCGGACCCGACCCCGGGGCTCCTTGCCGGACCCGACCCCGGGGCTCCTTGCCGGACCCGACCCCGGGGCTCCTTGCCGGCCCGGCGCTGCCTCCGCTCGCAGCCCAAGCAGAGCCAGCAGCTGAATCACCCGGGCTGCCACACTTCTGCAGGGCCTCCAAAAATAACTCCGCTGGAAATTCCTTGGAGGCACAAACCTCGCTTCAGAAAGGACTGCAGAGATCCAGTTTCCTTAGTGGAGCAGACTGGATGTGAACTGGCCCGAGCGCCTCGGAGCACACGGAGAGGGGACAAGGAGCCCCTTCTCACGGGCACAGAAAACAGTCACAGAGCCCATCCCGGAGCAACCCCGGGATCACGCACCGATCCCGGTCCTCCTGCTGCCACCACGGCTCCAGGGCCTGCTCCCTGCCCTGCTCCCACCACCCAGTTTTGCTCACAAAGCCAAACCCTTCCCGGGGTCTTTCATCCTAACACCTGCCCCTTGCCCTGCACCCCAAATCCCTCCCTGAGCTCCAGCCTGGAGAGCTGCTGCCTCGCCCAACACAGCACCGAAACGAGGGTCTGGAATTGCTCAGCACCTTTTCTCCTGCCCAAGCACCCAGGTGGGATCCTCTGGATGCCGGCGGCGGGGGCTCGGAGCCTCCCGGGGGCTGAGCAGCACGTGGCGCTCGGTGTTTTGGCTTCCTGGGAGCTGAATCCCATTCCAGAATCCCTCTCCAGAACCCTTCCCGGCCCCCTCACCTGCAGGGACGCGGCTCAGGGGGGTGCAGGACCCCCGCGGATTCCCGTCCTGCTCCCAAAGCTCCCAGCAGGACTCACGGACCGGGCTCCAGCGCTGACCTCGGGGACTGTCACAAGGACGCGGAGCCCACGGAGGTGTCCCCGGCTCCCAGCCAGAGCCGGGCTCCAGGGGGAAAATCCCCAGGGGCTCGGCTCTCCGGCCTTTTTGGCTGGAATGGGGGTGGTTTTGGGGCGGAGGGGATGGGAATAGGGGATACAGAACAGCCGGGAGTCAGGGCTCTGCTACCTGAGCTCCTCAGGTGGGAACCGCTCCGTCCCCGGGGCGGGGGGACACGAACCCAGGAACGTCCCGCACCTGGGAACGTGGCTTAACACAGCCTAAAACACCGGGATTTCGGAACGGCTCCCTGCCAGACCCGCGAACAGGTGAAACAACGCCAACAACCCCAAATCCCGGGTGATGCGACTGCGCCCGGACGGGCCCGACGATCCAAAGGGGCTGGAATGTAAAACTTTCGGCCCCGGCGCCGGAGCCGCCGCGACAACAAACACGGGGCGCTGCGGCCCCCGGAGCCCCGCGGGTCCCGGCCCGGGGTCAGCGGGGGCTCCGCGCGCGATTTGCCCAAATCCCCGCGGAATGGCCCCAAAGCGGGGCTGGGGCGGGGCTGTCCCGGGTGTGCCGGCGGGTCTCACCTGCGATGGCCGTGTCGTCCAGGTGCGATCCGGGGGCCCGCTCGGCGCTCCCGGGATGCGGCGGCAGCAGCAGCAGGACGAGGGAGAGGCCGCACAGCGCCCGCACGGCCCGGCCCGGCCGCCGCTCCATTTCCGCGTGCCCGCCGCCGTCAGCTGCCGCTCGGCATGGGCCCGGGCCGCGGGTCCCGCTTATCCCGGCGCTCCCGCAGGTCGCGGCGATCCCGCTATCCCGGCACCGCCGCAGCTCCGCCGCGCTCCGCGTACCGGAACGGCCCCCCCCGCCCGCAGTGGGCTCTCCCAGCGCGGCCCCCCCGCCGCAGTGGTACCTCCCGGGACAGCCCCAATCGCCCCGCGCACGGCGGGCTCTTTCCGGGATAACCCCGCTCGCCACCCGCCTCTCTGCCGGGACAGCCCCGCTCCTCTCTCTCCCTTAACCCTTCCCCGGCCCTCTCCGTCCACCCTCCGCCTTCTCGCAACGGTGCCGCCCGGAACCGCCGCTGCGTGAGCGCTGAGACAGCCCCGCCGCCCCCCCCCGGGCGATCGCAGTGGTCTCGCCCGCCGTGAGGTGCACCCGGCCCCGGCACCGCCCCGCGCGCCCACGGGGGGCGGGGCCAAATCGCACCGCGCCCACCGAGGGGCGGGACCAGCCGGGGGCGGACGCGCGACCACGCCCCCCGCTACCGCCCACCCGCGCGCGCCGCTGTGGCGCAGCGCCCCCTGGCGGCCACAGCGGGCGGGGAAGCTCAGCAGGGCCGGGCCCGGGCGGGGCCTGGATGGGTGACCCGGACCCGCATCGAGTCCGGGGGGGGGAGACACGGCACCCCGGCCCCGCGGGCTGGCACTGCACCACGGACCCACAGCACCACGGACCCACAGCACCACGGACCCACTGCACCACGGACCCACAGCACCACGGACCCACAGCACCACGGACCCACAGCACCACGGACCCACTGCACCACGGACCCACTGCACCACGGACCCACAGCACCACGGACCCACAGCACCCCACTGCCACAGCACCCCACTGTCACAGCACCACGGACCCAC